CTTGGAGATCGTTTGTACGCGATAATTTATGGAAGAGATATCGACAAGTTCGCGGCCCGTATACGTGTCGAAATGAAAGCGCGGATATTAATTTCTCCGATAATATATTAAGCAAAGACATACTGCGCCCGAGAATTTATGGCGGACGTACCTATTCTCGACATCGTGACCGGCAACGGAATTGCGCGCATTCTACGATACTTTAACGGTCAGTGAGTCGCGAATAAAAAAGGCGACATATCCCATTGAATTTATAGCATTCCGGGCTGCGTGTGACCCCTAATGGTTCCGCCAACCTGTACATTTATCACAATCAGTGCTCTCAATTGGTCGGGCGTGGGTGTGCGGAGATATCGGGCAAAATTTCCAACGAGAATACCGAAGAAAGCTGCTCAGTCGTATAGCTATATCGTTTTCGCGTCTTATAAAATCCCGAGCTCGATAACTTGTGTATTGTATGCGCTTGTCGTATAAATGCGTCGCGACTTTATATATTTCACCAGTCACGATTGCTCTAAGCTATTCATCCATTGTTTCAATTTATAAATATCGATACGACTAGCAATGTACGCATATATCTCTTTGAAGGAATGCGGATTATGTTACAAGGATAATTATTAGGTGGAAATGCGCAATAACTTTATGACCCCATAATTCTTTTCACGCGGCTTTGCACGAATCGGAATGTGTCAGTTTTTTGCTCGATTAAGGACGAGGTGTCTTTCGTCGAGAGGAGGAAACGTGACGGAGCTTCTTGACACTCTTAATTCGTCTCGGTTCGTAAGAGCGGATCTACGTATTTATGCTCATCAATTTTGCAACGTAAATCCTTCCCGTCGTATGTTGTCACTTGCCACTTGCCGTGGCTTGTTCCTCCATTGCGACTTTTTTGCACGAACGTCGCGAGATCTGCGACCCTTGAGCACAGACTCCCGCATTCAGACACGATGCACTTTTAGAATATCAGCGAATGACGCGACAGGACACGTCACTGTAAGTGTCGATTGATCGGAACAACGTGTGGAATATTCTCGAGAGAGAGACGAGATGAAAAACAAATATAAAGAACACAGAAGCGAATTAATATGAAAAAATCTATTATTTATTATATTTGATAAGAAGAAATTTAATTGTTTTTTTTTTTTTTTAATTAAATCTTTAAGCACGCTATTCAGTTAAATTACAAAGATTATCCTCGCCAAGGGTATTTCTAAAAAAACACGTGATACGGTTGCTCTTTTAATAAGTGTTTCCTCGTATCTAATCCACTACCGTTTCCCACAATAGTCGGCAGAAGCTTATGCTAATGCTACGTAGCAAAGCCAAACGGTGATCGCGGTGAAATGCAAATTATACCCGCAGCATTATTGCATATGTCGGTATTGGTAGTTATACAGGCGCTTATTGGAATTTATATCGCGTCTATTTTTGTTTTCAAACGAGAAAATATCGTTAAGGACCTTAAGAAACCCTAACGAGGGCCATTCAATATCTATTCCTGCTGAACAAGGGTTATCTGTTTTGTTAGCGTGTTTTTTTCGGGATAGATACAGTGTTTTTTTTTCATGGAATTTCGTAAAGTCAAACCTAGAAATATATCGCTCTACTATTTTACTTATGATTAGTATTTCCAATTCTTCTTTTAATCGTACGACTGAAAAATTTGTTTGAAAATTGACGAGACAAGATTTTCGTGCAATCAAACTACCTCTTTTGCAGTGTTTGATAATTTTTACTTAGAAATCACTTCTGTGTCACTGCAGTGTCACGACTTATGCTTTAATGGACCGATGTGCACCCATGTAATTTCGCACGATCGTTTCACAGCTTAATTTTTACGAGGAGGAAATTAGTATGGGCTGTGGCGAGCGTTTAAACGTTCTTGGAGCGATGATCGACGGCAATTGACCACAACCCTCGTCGTTCTCGCAGGACGTTACACCGTGGCCATTGTTGCTTGACGAGTACGAGAGGTAACTAAAAGACGAGACTAATCGTCGATAAAATAATGGTCGCTATTTTTGCCAGACAAATGTCCCTTTTTCAAGCATCGAAAATATTTCGCAGCGATAAGATATATAATTAACGATGATTTGGTCGCGCTCGGCGGTTCTGGTTGATAAACACATGCATTAATCACCCAAATTAATTGATTCATTAAGCATTCAACAGGGAAGGATCGAATTCCACGCAGGGTCATTGAAACATTGATGCAAGTTCGATTCCATAAGTCGTGTGATATAACGATTTCTATAATCGTTTTAAAATCACCGTTAATGAATATTGTATATTGATAAAAACATATACCGAGGGATTGCGGTCACTTATAGATCATAAATTGCCCTAGCATTAACTTAATGCAAAAATAATAAGAGTGCACAGCATATTAAATAAATCACTAGTTTCCAGAGAAAGTCGGAGGAACGAGAAAAATCTTCTGCTCGCAATTAATCGAAAAGAGAAAGATCAAGGGTCAATATTCTTCGTGAGTCAGAGTCTCTTTTATTCACTTTCAATTTTCTTTCCCATTCCGACTCGATTCATGTATAGAGTTCATGGAGCACAATTAAGCATAAATCATATTAATTATATCGAATATGTATACTGTGCACAAAAAAATCAGATTAATTAACGATATTTCATATAAGTCAATTTTGACCATATTCTGCGATATTTTATCATTCTTATCACGCGGTAATCAGGCATGTAAATTTTTAGGTTTTTAAAGTCAAATTATTAATTGCCTCTTTCTCCTTTCTCGATTTGTTCGACTGTGCGATCTCGAAGTGACTTATAGTACACCCTGTACACGCAGTTATGACATTACGTATTCATTACGTCGGGATAATAATACACCAGTGGTGGGACTCGGCTCGGCAATTGCGACAAAAGCTTCGGCGAGTAATTAATCCGACGTGGATGGCGATAAGTATAATGAGGGAGGAACGGATTCGCCGTATTTGTTTTTAATTGCATATTTATGACGTGAATGCCTTATGGTCACCGTACCGTGTATAATAACGCACGAACATAATAAAGCATAGTTATACATATGAATTGTGTTTAAAATTGAATTCGCGCAAAAGCAAACAGATTTAATAATTTAGAAATAATAAAATCTGCCAATTACATTTTGGCTAATGAAAAAAATTGTTTACCCCGATAATTATTAGTATTTATTATTTGTGTTCCATAAATGTATTTATGCTTTAAAAATCAATCTGTACACATCGCACGGTATAATTAATTGAAATTAGGTTAAGTATCATGCTGGCTTTCCAAGAATGACGGTGTGCGGTAAGATGGAAGTCGATCACGGAGCTCCTCCGTAATCGCGCGATGAAACGGCGGGGCAAAATATCGGGTTGCGAGAGAGAAGCGGCGGTGGGTTTAATCCCTAACTCGTAAACGCGATCGGTTGCACAATCACGACTACCGGTTCGTTAAATGAAGGTTTAAGGCCGTGAATGCACCCTTTGTCGGCACTTGGCCTCTTTTCTTATAGTCTTATACACTTTTTGCGACTGCAGTGAACCGCGTTGAAAAAATTCTCCTGGAAAATACACTGTCGAATATTATAGATTTGAATAGTGAATAAAAAAAATGATTCTTGCTGCTATAAATCTTGTTCGCTCGTCGCGTGACCACCCGGCGTCATTATTAACACATAAACGCGCGTAGATTGCGAATAGGCGATGCATTAATATTGCATCGATGACGAGACGACGAGTCACGCATAACGTAATAATTTTCCGAGAATAATTTTCCATCGCGTGGCATATATATACGCGGCGTGTCTAAGTACGGTTGCTCTGTTAAAGCGAGACGCCGCCGTGGACCACCAGCCACGACGGCGCGTGTCATCCGTCAAATTATCCGCGACGAGGCATTCCTGAGAAACGCGGTCTGAGTTCGAAAGTCGACGTACATATATTGACAACACACGCTGCAATCATATCCATCTTGATTACATCTTAATGATGATAACGCGAAAGATGAAAATATATAAAGACATGGAACGTATTTTTTTTTAAATTCTATTATTAAAACAAAATTTGTTTTTTAACGAGAATTAGATTTAAATATGAAAGTATTGCTATGAAAATTGTTAGCAGTTATCAAGCGTGAAATTGTAAAATTATTTATTATTTTGCGGTATACAATTCATGACTTTTATCTGAGATTGCGCATTTCAAGATAAAAATAATTCAATTAACCACTATATACATGTCGAGCTATTTCATAATGCCACTTATTTTCCGTGACACTAATGCGTTCACTTGAAACCGGATTAATTATCGCGATTATTTTTATACGTAAATAAGAGACATTTCATACATATATGCGGGAGTTTAATTCCGCGAGATAACGCGTTGCATTTTTGTGCAGAAAAAAAAACAATATTTTTATTTTGATGCAGCACCCGTGTGTTTAAAGCAATCGTATGTATCTATCTCGCGCCAAACTCGAGAAAAATATTCATCGTCGATTTGCAACTCGCAGTATCGCGATGAGGGTTCGTAAATCATATTTGTGATATGCCGCTAACAAATCGTCCGCAATAAAGTTTACACGATTAATGATACTTTTATCCGCTGCACGCGGATAAAGTCCTTCTCTTTACATCGGTGCATCCATCTTCCGTTCTTTCTCTCATGACGATTTATCCGGCATGCAAGCGAACCGGCGTTTACGAGAGCGTTTATCGTTCAATCGATCCGGTTCGCGCAACGCTGCGCCGTTAATTCGCTTAATACGTTATACCAACAAATTATGCGTCGCGGCAGTTAATACTTATTACGTACTCGCATGCTTTTACGAGCCACGTTGAATTGTCCGAGTGAAAGTGCATGGAAAATTTGTCGCGTACGCATAGATGCGAATTTATTCTTCGATATTATTTATGAAATTATTAATTCTGATTTTGAGTTTCTATGTTTTTCTTATCATAAATTAATGCTTTTTTTTTTTAAATGAGATGAGAGATAATTATGAGCTTTTCATTTTATTACTTTGGATACGTATAAAAATTGTGGAAATAGAAACGAATAAATCGTGTGATAAAAAAATCGAAAAAATGCTAGACTTACGTAGAAAAAAAGCTCGACGGGATGAGAGTGCTTCGGCACGCAGGTGAGTGCTTCCGATGTGCAACATCCGGTGTCGTCCGAGCACCTGTGCAATATAACACAGTGCGGATGGTAGGTGGTTGATGGATTCGGATAAACCTCACGTACCGGAATCAGTCGCGCACGTGGCCATTGACAGTTGCCTTCCTTGTGGACTTGTATCATGTTTTGAATAGCGCTTCTATTTGCTTCTGCACCTAGAGCTAGGGCAAACATCGAGTCGTTAATGCAATAATTGTAAGATAGTAGTAGACGCGTGAGATTAATTTTTCGAAGTCGAATAAGAACAAAGCCTCGTTCTCGGGGTATTTATTTTAGAAACACAATTGCGCTTATTTTAGAAAGTCGAGATACACCCATTCGCGATGACACGTGATTTGTATACGTTTCTCTCTTCTTTTAGTCTTGCAACTCTCGTAAATCTTGGGATTTTGAGAGCTTCAAGATTTTCAATTCACAAGCTTGAATGCATTCTGTATGTTGTAACGAGCCAGCATTACCATATTTCCGGGTGTGTAACTCATTAATTACTGTCGCATCGTATTGAATATCTAATAGAGCGAGAAAGGAATGAAAAGGTGGGATTAGAAGAGAAGGTTTTCTTATCGCAACAATCTTCGTAACTCGTTTATCAAATTCGAGAGACGCGTTCAGCTATACTAATAATACATCGAGAAAGAGAGAGACAGAGAGGAGAAAGAGAAGCTCCGTTAAGATCGATACATTAAACAGGCAGGATTGAAAGATCATGATGGGTAGATGCATTCAACATTTAAGTGACATAAGTCACGAGAGCTTTCTATTGATTCAGTTCGGAGACAGCTAATCGCTTTCTACGCGCGTTTCACGTATCATCGATAATTACGGCGACGTGGTCACTTCGCATAATTCTCTTGAGCGTTCAGAGAAACCACATTGTAGCGGGAATTCGGTAAATTCTAGTACAAATAATAACAGCGGGGAAATGTCAACGCGGTATGGGAAGGAATTTAAAGACGGTGCAACGCCATTTGAGGAAGCGAATAGAGATCCGTCGCGACTTACGAGACCTATATGTGATCGGAGGAGAAAGCAATGTTTGTCATTTAACATTTTTCATTTTTTTTTTTTTTTTTGCAATCGGGAATTATTCTGAACCAGGAAGCTCGAATGAGATAATGTATGTAATGTATTTTCAAATCAAAATATGACAATTGTAAATTGCAAGTTTAGGGTCACTTACGATGAAATCAAAATATGACAATTGTAAACTGTAAGTTCAGGGTCACTTACAATGAAACGCAACTTGATTGTGCGTTTATTAACGATGTTAATCGGATGAAGTTCGCCGGCTGCACGTTTCACGAATACCGCGCGTCGAGGTGCCGTGTCCCTTTTAATCGAAAATTATTGCGATGCAGCAAGAATTCCAACAATTTATGCGCGGCGGCGACTTATCCCTCATCAAAGTGTCGTTTGCCGCGTCAGACCGCCGATTAATTTATCGATCGTGGAATTGGCCGCGTGTGGAAGGTCACAATATCATATGTTACAATATTATACGATGTGAAGGTTACAATGTGAGTGTTACGTGAAATAAACTTACAATCCAAGTGTCCGAGTATCATTAGCCTTTTGTTACAAACATTAGAAGACAGATAAAAATATGCTTGTTCCAATAGCGGAATTTGTGTTGGTGACTAATAATTATTGAGATATTAATTAGATATTATATAAAATATAAGTTAATGATGAAAACGTTTTCCACGTCGCGCATGCATTCGGTTAAATCATTTTGGGAGAGATTTCGGAAGTATTTTTGATATATTGTGCGTGCACATGCGGAATTGTTCACGCCGATCTAATCTCATGGGGCGATCTTGCTATGCTAATTTTCGACGTAGGCGTTTACTCTCGAGACTAACACGAGATTATATCGACGTGTTCACAATAGTGGTACGAGCATCGGAAATTCTTAAGTATGTGCTCTCACCGAACGCATCCTGTATTCAAACGTATTCCGGAATATATTATGAGAGAAAGGGATTAGATTCGATCGCCTTCACTATTTTATAATTTTTTTAATAAGCCTAAAAGAGAGAATGTCTCATATGACATATATTATAAATTTAATATAAACTTCGTTAATCCCGTGATTTATTATTGGTGTAGGAAGAAACTTACAAAATCGAGTTAATGATGTTAGCGCATTTTTATTCTCGTTAGATGATGTCATTTTGATGGTGTTAGAACACCAATTATTTCAATTTATCTTGATGTAATTTCTCTTTTACGATTTAATAGCCACAAATATTTATTTAAACTATTAGAAAACTGTTGGAAATATAAAGCTAAAACTTCATAATTTATGTAAACACGTTTTTGTGGAATAATAATTATACATGTCGATAATTTACTTTTCCGATTTAATTGTACGCACAAACTTATGATATCTCTTTCTATTTTTTTTCTTTGACTCAGCATGAAAGTATTTGATCAATGGTGCCTAATGATACTGTAGTCAGGATGTAGTATACTTAAAGAATAAATCACGCTGCAAATATGCAGGATTATGCAAGAGTTAACGGAATGTAATATCATCCATGACACACCGTGCTTTCCACGAAAGCTGCGTGCGTTCTGCATTTGCATATCGGCTCATATTATTTATGTTCACAATTTTCTTTTTATTAAATCATAGAATAGTTCAAGATTGTTTCTGAATCAACAACAGAAAGAAAACAAATTATTTTAAATGTCAAAAAATGTAAAGCATATGCATGGAAAATAATTCGTTTGAAAAAGAAGAAAGGTATAATCTCTCGCGAGTGGTGATAAATCGATTTTAATCAACGAAGGTATGAATCAATAACCCACTCTCCCTTTTCCCCAACAATCTCGCACGTGCGTGCGCTGATGCATTGCGTACATGCACAATCATCGCTATTAATTTACATATTAATAGCCTGTGAATTTTGTTGAGCGCGTTTCTCGAAGAATTCCTCTCGCGACCTTACACAATCGGGTGTGTTACTCCGTTATTCAATATAAAAGACCGATCACTTAAAAAACGAAACGATCGCGCTACATCGAATGCAATTATCGGTAAAAAATATTCGCGAAGGTAAATAAATATTCTATAATTTCAAGAAAGTGTAAGATTTACAGAGCGTGGGTATTAATAAAGAAATCAAACTAGGAAAACAAATGTCAATATAGAAACGCGAAATGTCAGAGGACAATAAGTCTCATTCTCCTCGCGCCGATATAGTGTAAAAATATTACGTTTTGCGACGGCTATTTTTATAATGTCTGCACGTAAGAGGCATAGAACATCAGTGAGAAAAGCAACACCCTCTCTCTCCCTTTTTCTTATTCTTTCGAACCTAGATGTGAATGGCGATTGCACAATCGCACGGAGAAGGTGCAATACTTAGAACGATAATCAATATACAATATGCTGGAAGTCATATTGCAATCGGAGCTAATATAACACGGATAAATTTATATATTGCGTATATTGTGGCAGGTAATTATAAAAACGTCAATTACATTAACTAGACAGCCGGCGACTGCGTTTGCGATATATTGCGCCGCGATTACAATGTAACGTGTTGGGTAAATAAAATCTCGAAGGTACACGCTTGAGTTTTCGCGCTGGTGATTTTGCGGACATGCATATAATTGTTTCGATCGAACGATTGGCGATTGATTTATGCGCGATTATTCAGTTTCATAATTACGAGTGATTACTGTTACGTCGTGTTCGCCCCTGATTGCCGCGAACACGAACATCCGCGTACATCCGCGAGGTAATTTCGCGCAAGGCATTAGATAGGTGGATAAGACCGTGAGTTTTTGCACAAACATTTGTGCGCGTGTATATGCGCGATGAAAAGTACACGGATAATTACGGTCGCGGTATCCCCGACATTCGAGAGATATAGCTGTGTTATTACGTTGATCGAACATCGCCACCAAGAAACGGACCACCGGCGTGGTTTTTAATAACGATTAATAACTATTTCGGAGTATTTCTCTCTCTCTCTCCCCTGGTGGGCTGTTCAAATTAATCGAGTCGGATCGATGATGAAAAAATGACGTGCATTTGCATAAATCGAAGCACGACGCGAATCGCGATCGCGATCGATTACAAATTGCTCTTTTAATACGCGTTCCAATCGCCCGCGTATTTTTTTAATCGATAGAGATACTATTACGAAAGAGAGAACGGTTCGTTGATTTGCATTCGACGACCGAAGCGCGCTCGCACTTACCCTGTGAAATTTTGTGCGACTGCATGATACTCCTGGTCTCTTTGACACGGTCGCGAGTGCTTAGCAACTCCCACTTCAGACGGCTATACGCAGACATCTCTGGATAGTCGTCTTTCCCTTGATATCCGTTATACTGAGCCTCGGTGCTGCCATTATAGCCCCTCCGATACCTATAATCGTAGTGGTGATGGATCGACGGTTTCGGCGTCGTCGTCGTCGTCGTCGTGGTCCTGGTCGTGCTCGTGGTAGTCGTCGACGTGGCGAGGGTATCCACTGGAATCTCGTCCTCGTCGTTGTTGCCGTCATCCGTGTAATCCTGCGCAAGTAAATTAAAAAATTAAATAATTATTATAATTTTATTATGTAATTAAAATAATATTTTAAAATTATGTGATTATATAATTTTAATATAATACATTTATTTAAAAATATATTATATATAATTATATAATAATATAATATTAATATATATTATATAATAATTACATAATAATATAATATTACTATATAATTATAAATTATATAATTATGTGTATGAATAAACACATGAGAAATAAATGAATATAATAAAGACATAAGAGACAATAATAATTTTAATAATATTTTTTTATATTCTTATTCTCGTGTTTGACTATTGAGAGAAAACGGATGCAAAATATGATCGACAATGAAATGATAAGTATGTAACACTAATCGCGACACTTGCATTTTATCCGCGAGGCGATTTTTTTGGATCGTGGGTGGTCAACGCGTCCTCGTGAACCCTCGGTAGATTTTTTCTCCGAGATAAGTTTAATAGGTAAATTTGCATCTCGCACGGTATGCATCTTCTCCCCCTCCCCTTCCCGCGATAGTCGACCTGTGAGCTCAAAGAGAGCGGGGACCTACTTAATCGCCGTCTCTGTAACATCTGGAATCTTTGATGTCAAGCCGCTTAGTAGAAACAATTCTGGCGACTGCATGCGTTGAATCTAGAAGGAATTTCCTCGGGATTGTCTCGCACTTTCAATTCGCGCGCGTTTTCCATTTTATTAGCAAATACGACTGCTAATATCTTTGTGGAAGTAACAATGATAAAAATTTAAAAGAAATTAACATCGAACATAAAATTAAAAATGTATGTATATGTTGAAAAATATTTTTTTAAATTTAAATACATATATCTACTTGTAAAGAGGGAAAAGGTCTTACTCGCTGATAATTGAGAGAAAAGTTTAAGCTTGTCGTTGTAAAGAAGAAATATTGAGTGCCGTTTTATCTAGCATTCCACGAGCGATCGCTGTCTATAACTTTTCCGGACAGCGAGGAATGTACGAATTGCGAGGTGAGATCGTAACGGGAATGAATTAATCGGTCTCTTGAATGAGTAGCTGGTACAAAGCAGCCAGAGCGATGAATCGAATATTGCGCAATCGTGTTTATCGCGTTTCGATCGTCATCGGGCTGTTCCTATACTATTGATTGAGATGTCAACTGCTAACAGGATTTGTTTCTCTAATGAGGAATAATTTCTGCGAGCAGAAGACGAGAGTGTCTTGCATCGTGCTCTTGAGTTATTGAACTCGCAGGCGGTCGTGCAGGATTTTACAGAAGCTTCTTTGTTCCTTGACAACCTTCGCACACGTTGTGCAACATGTGGCTCTAACAACGAAAGGTCAATTGTTTTGAAACCTATATATGTATGCACTATGACATTGAAAATGAACATGTAAAAGGATCCACACAACTGCTAACATATGCATTATATTATACGAAACCAATAATTATTCTGCAAAATTTTAGATCGCAATTAATATTTGTCGTAATCAGTCCTCATTTAATTAATGTTTTCTCTTAAAATGATAAATTGTAATACATGAAAAAATTATTCCGTTTTAATTATTTAAAAATCTGTCGAGCAATATCGCGAAAGATCTGAATAGTGGCGGCTTATTTAAATCCGCCTTTTATAAAACGTCAGAATTAAAGCTGTGACGAGGAGAAACTCAAAGACTTATCATAAAATATTTGCCAGACACTTTGATCTCCGCTCGCGGATTAGGATCATCGATAAATTTAAGTGTATCAGGTATATATCCCGATATGCGCTATCGTTAATGATCCCGCAGGAATCAGGCTCAGTAAAGAGTCAGACAGTCCCTCGGTTTGAAAATGGGCCCGCGGTTCTCTTTGAATCTCGCTTTTAGATATAACCGATATCATTCTCATTCGGACGCGCAAAAATCAAACCTTTAATATGTATATATTTCTCTCCCGTCAATATTCATTATTCTCTTGCTTTTCGTGTAGTAATCAATATTTATTTTCCTCTCGTGTTGTATCTATACTTTGAATCGTTTATTTATTAATATATATTGAATCGCGCGCAGTTGCAGATGAAGGCATCAATTCGCAAGAGCGGGACAATTATTCATGTCAGTCGCGATCATTCGTAACGATCGTTACTCTGCATTAAAGTGCGCGAATCGCACGTTTATGGTGTACGAGGGAGATAACCTTGGCAGGATGTTATAGAGCGAGACGGGATACACTTGTTACACGTACGGAGCATATAACACGATTCGCCATCAATGATTCTCGGAATCGAGTAGCTGAGATTTTACGAGCGACCCGGGATCAAGGGTCGCTGGCGTTTCTGATTGCCGTCGAGAGAATTCGTCTGTCCGCTTGCTGCACGTCTGCGAGTTAACGAGGAGGTTGTGAAAATTTCACGATTAAAATCAACGGGGTCGTCGACATCGTTGTTTATTCTATTTTCAGACATCTCATGCTCTCAAGGATTTCACTTGTAATGACGCTCGTAACTGATAACTGATTATTGTAAACTAGACCACACATCGCTTCTGCGTTTGTGATAACCCAAGGAAATTTTTCCAATTTCTCTCCCGAGACGAGTAATTGCTCCACTTATACGACTGATGATTAAATTTTGTGCGATCGAGACATGTTTCGTGTGTTGTTATATTCCCAAAATTTTAATAATTTCTGCGAATTATTTGACAAATTATAGAAATTTTTATATTTTTATTATAATCATTCATTATTAAATAAAATACAATTCTTAAGAAGATACATCTTTTTGGTGGAGTGAGGCATAAAAAGAAGCTTACTCATCGTCAATATTATCGTACGCGGTTGCTCTTATTGCAATAATAATATGATGAGATATTTGATGTGAATCACGTGTTTATGTGGACGGTGCGATATTTTGGGGAAAGAGATGGGCACGTTTTTTAATACACGTTCTGAAAAGTTTGAATATAAAAGTACTCAACATATCAACATATATTTTACGGGTTAACGTTTTATCGACGCTTTCGACACTCTATACATAACTTTACGAGATTACTCGTGATTGAATACACATATAAACCAATATGTTGCAACAATTTTCACGCGGTCGTATTTTATCAAAGCGATGCGGTAACGTCGCCAAAGTATGTACATAAAAAATGATAGAGGTACTGTCAAATAATTTATCCGCAATTTTTATATGATAAAAGCTATAGGATTCTTTTAGAGAAAGAATGCCTATATATGCGTATGCGATAACGTCATTTCTAGAAGAACGCGTAAGTGCTCGTAAAGTCACGTAATTCGCGCTTCATCTAAGTATTGTCCCTTACGCTATTACATGTTAATTATTAGAATGCTGACCATAATTGCAATGGTAATCACGTAGCATATATACAATGTTTGCGACCGCGGTAAAGCGAGTTTATTTCTTACCATCGAGACGGCGGTTAAATGCCGGCGGCAAAAAAGGAGGAAAAAAAGAACGGAACGCTGGTATTTCTAGCCACTCGACGTACGACGAATGTGGTTAGAAATTAGATCGAGCAAAGAATGTCTAGAGGTGTAAAAGCGAGATGTTGTGTTTAAAGGATACAAGCGAGAAAGAGAGAGAAGGCGGTTCTCTTCAGGGTGTCCTGAAAAACGTAGCTCGCGGCGGCGTGTCGAATATTAAGAAGTATTAGTGCATAATTCGGTGCAACCTCCTGTTATTAAATATCGGGCTCGCCCATCGTACATTGGACCACCCAAAAATTCTGTTGCGATTCGCGCGCAAACCACAAGCGAGCAATAATTTTTCTTACAAAGACGCGGTTTAGAGAGGGTTGCTCCGGCTTCGGTTCCAGATTTGCATAAATCAGACTTCGCGATCGATGCGATAAATCAAAGGAAGATATCAAGATTCCGGAAAGAAAAGTCAAAGAGCTTGCAAGCGCGAAGTAGTTATAAATAATTATGTTTTGCGCGAATTATTTTGTTTTTCGCGAAGAACAAATATTATTACGCTAATAGGATCTCTTGTCTCCCTTTTAATCACTCATCTCAAATTTAATATATATAATCTTGCGGCGATAATTATGACAATGTTTCATAGCCTCAGAATTCAATGGACGAGTTTCGAATCCTCTCTCGTGGTTTTTTTTTCTTCTTCATGGTATACTCTCAGGAGAGTGTAACCTGCCCACGGCTTGTATATCCGATTGAATTAATATTCGTGCATCAGATAACACGGGGAGACAATACAGTAAGACTTGAGGCAAATCGATCACATTTTAGATAGTCGATCTCCGCGCTAAATAAATAAATTAACAAAGCAAATGGTAAAACGACCACCCATCGAGCTAAGAGCGGCCACATTGACATATTGTGGATACGATCGGAAGATATATTTCATTTCGTTTGTATCAACAAAGCGTCCAATCATCTCTTTCGACATTATTAATTAATATAATTCAAAGGTGCAAGAAGAATAAATTGAATTAAATTACACAAATTAAATTAATTATTTTTACCAATAATATCGTTTTTAATAAATAACTGAAATAGGTGACATTTTAACGTTATGACATATCGCCAAGTTAAAATAAAATTTCAACATTCTTTTATCGTAGAGACACATTAATTATGATAACCGTTCGTCGAGCATTTCTATTGTTTTCGTGCTACCACTCTTGAACGCGACAGAAATGCAGAACAAAATGCAATATACGAGACATGATACGCCGACGTTATGTGATCGCCATACAAAATGCAGTCTCGATCATTCCGAGAAAGGAATCGAGTCGCTGCCAGGCTGTCTGCTACCGCGAGTCGGTGACACATGGTCGACCATAGACGAATCATGATTCCCATCGCGATGGGTTACGCTATTTATAAGAATGACTGCGCGGTTTAATCGATTATTTGACATACCGAAAACGCGATAATTTATCGTACATGTTTCTTATTATCGTCGATACTTATAGGATTACATTATATTACAAAATGCATTTTATTACGGTTATAAATTATTATTGTATCCAT